TCTTTCAAGCCGCTCGCTCGAGCCGATCCCACGAGACAAGTGGCGTCCTTTGAGAGATGCAAATTACCGGGACATTTCCGGTCTACGAATGAATCAAGAATTTATTATTATTTCGCATTTCCATTTTAACTCTCTCGTCACAATATATGTATACGTTTAGCATTCTATTTTCATTAAGATAAAAACGTAAAGTTTTTAAAATACGTGAATTTTTTTAAATAACATTTTATTTTTTATTATTCTTTTTTAATAATTTTATAATTATACTTTATTTAACATAACTTTATATACATAAAGATGCATATTCCATCTCATAGTCAACAACCAAGATTAAAACGCTGACAATAGAATGTAAGGAACGTTAAGAATAATGATCTCTTAATCATTTTAATATATCAAAAACTTTGCAGAGTATATAAAAGTTTGTTAAAAAAAATCTTTATTATAAAATATAATCAAACATGACTAGGTGTATTGGAATTTAAAAATAAAATGAACCCACGAAATGCAATATGGATTACACTTTGGTATAAAAAAAGGAATACATGACAAGATTCTGAAAGTCTTTTTTTTCATACAGTGGCGATACCGGCGGATATTGGACGGAGAAAAAGGTCAATATTGAAATTCTCTATCGAACCGGCGGCGTTGCGTGGTTCAAAACTTTGTATCGATGTATGGGGACGCGATAAAATCCCCACTGTGCCGTGGATATTGAAACCCCCGATCGGCGCTTTACCCCTCTTAATTGCGTCGCGATTTGCATACGCCCTTTTTCACTCGCGCGGCAACGAGATACGGTCGGGTAGAGAGCGAAAGAGCTGAGTGGAGGGTATAAGCAGGCGAGAGGACGAAGCCAGGCACATAGATCACGTACGAGGCAGATTGCGGGGTACGGACCAATCGCGGAATCAGGTACACGTGCAGTACGAGACGGTACACGATAGGGATACGTCTTATTATAGAACCCACGGGGTTCCACCTAGCGCTTCCATCGCGGGCAGGAACGGAGATACCAGCGGAGGTTGGAACGTTGGAGCATGAAAAAGAAAGGAAGGATATGCGCGGTAGAAGGAATAGGATGAGAGAGAGAGAGAGAGAGAGAGAGAGAGAGAGAGAGAGCAACGAAGGAAGGAGAAGGATGGAGAAATGGGAACAGAAAGAAACGGAAGGACAGAACGAGAGGATCGGAACGGAGACAGAGAGAAGTTAACGATTACGTTGCGAGGGTCCGCTGACCCGCGAGGTCAACATTGTTACCTTCATTATTGGTACCTAGAACCCTCTTGCCTCTTTATCTCTCTCGCTCATTCCGTGCATTTATCCCCCTCCGCCGTTGCGACGATCGCCAGAGACACTCTTTTCCGAATGATATGTACTCGCAAGTGCGCTTCCATAGCTGCGCCCCGAGCCAACGGAGCAGTAAATTTTCACGCGCAGCACGCACACGAGAGAGCTGTCCCTATATTTTCTCCATCCGTCCCGCGAAACCGATACCACCGTGCGCGCCACACGGTACAATGTGTCTAGAAAAAAAGCGCGAGATGAAAGATATACTCGCGCTGCCGTGCGATTCGTTACTCCTTGCGCTATGCGCTCGCGAGAATTAATACCGGATATCATTGCGTTACCGTCTAATCGGCAGGCACGACAAAAGTATTCGCAATAATGATTGTAATCGTTTAAAAACGAGAAAGTTCTTCGAGGTGAGATATGTATTTGAATTTAATCAAGAACAGAAAGCAGAAAAACAAACTCGTTATTCTCAAAAGATAATTTACGTGATGAAATATTGATGAATTAATGAATGGCTACATAATGTAGTTTGTTAAGATATTATTTAAGATCATTAGATATATGATAATGTCTGTGTAATTTAGAATACAATATTACGAGATATTTTAAAGAGACTTATAGGTAAAAGCAAACAAAAATAAAATAAAACGTACTAATAATAAAATTTTTATAACGATATATCACAACTATTTACATAAAATTAAATTATGTTAAATTATAGAGCAAGATGTTTGTAGATAGAAACGTACAGCTTGTCTTTTGAAAAATGCAAATAATTCGAAAACAATTGGAACACAATATAAGAGCCAGGTAAAGTGTGTACACATAAAAAAGAAAGGCAGAAAAAGCAGGATGAATTATTTTAGAAGTGAGATTTAGGAAACATTTTTTTTTAAATAAATATCTCATATTATGATGAAGAAAAGCAGATTATTAACTTGTCCATTTTGGCGGAGTGAAGCTAAACGTTCAACAAAGCCACTAAAATGCCGTGGAAGAGCTATTTATGAGAAAGTCTTCGTTAAACGATTTTTGCACGCACGTCAATCTAGCGATAGTCTCAGGCTAGAATGCCGTTGATGGATTACCCGCGTAGCGTCTCGCTGAAAATCGCGTAAAGTGCGATTTCGCGTAAGTGCATTCGCTTGCACATGACGCGTAACGCTTCCTTAATTATGCAGAGAGAGAGAGAGAGAGAGAGAGAGAGAGGGGTACACACGGCGCGTCTAACAAACGTGACTATGAACAAAGCTGATAGTGGGTTTCGAGAACATCGATTTCGGTCACGCGTGCCCGTCCGCCCGCGCATCGTTGGATCGATCAGTACAATCGCACGCTCGCACGCTCCGTTCTGACGACCGCGAAAAGTTGTCACGAATCGACTGGCAATTACTCTGCTCCGCCGAGTAGAATGATCGAGTTACACGTGTGATTGATAACGAGTTATTTACTTTTTCGTGATGATCATTAACGGGATTTGTTTGACACGTACTTTGACGCATACATATATTTATTGATACAGAATTTAAACGTACGTACACTTCACGTAGCTTAAAGCGTAATAATATAAGAGGAAAGTGCCAGAGAAAAGAAACGGAAAATCTTTCTTTTTTATCTATAATCTAATATTTACAGAACATTTTAATGTACGTAAATGTGACGTAACGTATACGTACTTTTTGTACAAACAGAAGTGTATGTGATTATAGAGGATTAAATATATTTAAGAGAGAAATTACAAAATTGTAATCGACACAAAGTGGACCTTTACTAGGCTATCCTTGTACATTATTTTAAATAGTTCTCATTCAAAGCTCAGTCTATATTCAGATGGAAAAAGCACTAAAATAATTATATTTACTTTAAAGAGTAAAACAAACATGAACCAGCGCAAATAGGAAACAGAATATCAACGTAATAAATGGGATTGTCTTTTTCTCTCTTCAAATACTCCAAAATGTAACAATAATCCGTTTAATACATTCGCGTTATAGCGCACTATATACCACAATACTTTGGATACGATATATGTATGCATATACATATAAATTGCGAATTTGACAATTCAAATAATACAAAGTACTATTTGAGTATTATTTAATGCAACAGCTTATTTACTATGTATAACCAAATAAAATTGTCAAATCATGTGTTATCCCCGTGACTTCTATTAAATTTTCGAGAATTTTAATGATTCATTGTGTGAAAAAATTGAAAATTTACGCAAGAGAGCAACTTTTAAAATACGCAAATAGTTAAAATTGTATTTTGTACTGTTACTGTTCGTTACTGTTAAGAACGTTTTTACCGTTGAAACTAAATGGTAAAACAAAAGTACTTGAAAAAAAAATAAAAAGTTTCTCTTCGTATTTACATGAAGAAATTGATCAAGCTTTATATATTCGTCCGTAATACAATATTTTTATACATACACGACCTGGGAAAATGTATTTTTTATGGCTGCGTTCGCGCATCTGACTTGGAACAGCGCGCATATTTTTATTTTCGACGTTACACGTGTAACTTCGCGCGTTTACTACTCTCATGTATAAAAAAATACGTGGCTTACGCAATAAAGAAGGAGAAGGCAAGCATGCAAAAATACGGTTCCCCTCTAATGATCTTCGGCAGTACTTATAGATCCCCGGCAGTAAAGTACGCGAACGCGCGTTTCGAGAAATATCGATCGGCCGCACAGCCCGAGTCACGAGATCATCGATCTGACAAAAGCAAACATGAATCACGGCGGTTTGCAGGCCGCGTAAGGCGTTCCGTTCTTCGTTTACCCTGGAACGCTACATCACGCGCGGTTCCTCGCCGCGTTTTATTACCCGCCGTTATTGTTAGTTGTATGTTTCACGCCGGGGGCGTAATACCCAAGTGGAATCTAGCGAGGCTCTTAGAGCGGATGATGTAAGAAGGTCGTTAATTATTTTCGGCCCACAGGTACCACCAGGGCGTAGAAGAAGTACACTCGGCCTGCGCCCGCGCGATTTATCCGCGGCGCAACGAATACGTGATCTATCATGGGTAAGCCTGGATTTTTTAGTTCCCCTAAGCCTTATCCGCGTCGTATCGCCGCGGAGTCCGGTCGCGGGCGGTCTTGCCGCTCTCTATCGCGTGGCATCGCCGTGCTTCGCTACAGTAGTACTTATTGTACATTTTAAAGGTAACGTCGTTGTAAATAAGACGGCTCACACTAGTGACCGTTGAACTATAATTACCACACCGTGCTTTACAAAAAAGTAAAGAAGAAAGGGGATCTACTCTGTTTATTATTTTCGTTAGACATTGTGCACTTACTTTTGAAAAATATCGATTACAGCGATGTAAAAATGTTACAAACATATTGAAATAAAAAATTCACAAATCGCAGTTCGATTTGTTTAAAAATAGCTCCCGTGTAACTCTATAACTATTCGGAACGATCGGAATTATCTGATTGACGTATTAAGCGTTATATAAGTTTCGTTTCGCAACGCTCTTAGTAAATATTAACTTTATCTACACTACTACACTATTAACTTTTCGTAAAATGAAAAAAAAAAGAAAATTTTACATGGTGGAACACTTGTTACCTTGATGTTGTATATGAAATATATAACGTCAAGATATAACATCAATTTCGCAGAAAGGATAATCGGCACATCTGTTTATATAAAGTATGTGGTATATATTGCGTCCGAAATATCAGTACACCATTACCGATTTAAAGGTGCTGTGACGCGAACGTGTGAATTATTACGTCTTGGAGCACTTTAAGACTTTAAAACAGAATGAAGACAATAATATTCGTCGCATGTATTTTGGCTACCGTCGTGAGTACTGACAATTATAATGACTTATCTTCTTATATATTATATATATATATATATATATATATATATTGTTTATATATACGGAAAGAACTAGTAATTTTGTTAGAAGATCTACAAATTTTGCTGGATACAGATATGAAAATATTTTTGTTGGAAACTTAATCAACAATGCTAAGCATGGCTATAAAACGTTTTGATATTTGTAACCAGTTTGAATTCCAACAAATTTTGATGGTTTAACAAAATTATTTTCAGATACGTATCCAGTAAAATTTTTAGGCCTATCAGCACAATCGTTCTTTTCGTGTAGATTTATGTTTTAAAACTCATTAAAACATTAACTCTAAACTTAACAGCAATCCTCGTTCTTGAGTAATTCTTACAATATAATACGTTATTATATTGTATTTATAAGCCAAAATATTTGTTTAAGGGTAACAAATATAGAACAAAGACATACCAATTTTTATGGATTTCAGACAGCCGGTGATGCGCTGATACTCGATTTCATAAATACCTTAACTTCAAAGATATTTAACATTAAAGATCTAATGGATTATCATATAACGTATGCAGGATGTGCCTTGAAATTGGGTTTATTAAGTAAGTGTTTTAATTAAATAATTATTAAATATTTTATGATAAGAATAAAATAATAAAACTACTTTAGGAAGATAATTTTTGTCGTCATTAAAAAAGTTTATTATAAAAAAATGTCATTAAAAAATTTTATAATCAATTCTTACACTCACAATCAATAAAATAACAGCATAAGATATTTCAATTCATTTTTTATTTGAAGTATTATTTTTATAATATTGTATCTTTGAATATTTTCAATAATTTTATCTTTGACATAATTTTATTCTCGTTATTATCTTTTATACTTTTAAGCAGTTTATTATAAGTGCTCTAAAAACTAATATTTGTACAAAAATGTACATATGTAATTATGATATAACAAAGAAAAACAGTTATAATAATGTAGCATACAAAATAAATTAGAGTATATCATAATTACATATGTACATTTTTTTACAAATATTAGTTTTTAGAGCACTTATAATAAACTGCTTAATAATATAAAAGATAATAACAAAAATAAAATTATTATTACATTTATATAAAGCGGTAATGTATATATTCAATTATAGTAATCAAATTTGTTTTTGAGAGATAAAGAGAAAGAAATAGAGAGATAGAGAGAAAGAGAGAGAGAGAGAGAGAGAGAGAGAGAGGGAAAGCTCTTAAAAAATTCATATTCCGCGATCCAATATCACTTTCAGAAAGCAATTCTCCAAGAATGACTATATATTGCTTTATGCATTTGGAATTGTGTTATCCGAAACCAATAATTCACATATATTACAGAGATCTACACACCCGAAATATTCTTATGTATAGCAGAACAGAAAAACTTGGTAAGTAAATACGTACTGAAATGTATTCATATATATGTATTTAAGGAGAAAGATAAAGAAAAAGAGAGAGAGAAAGAAAGAGAAAGAAAATTAAATTTATATAGACAAGATTTATTTAAATTCTAATACGATTCACATTTCTTTACATTAACATTATCTCTTTCAAAATCTTCAAAAAAATTGTGTGAAATAAATAATTATCAGGTGTGTATATATATATATATATATATATATATATAGTTTGCACTATCAGAATCGTATAAGTGGAATATAAAAAATAAAAGACTGATTAAATATTTTGTCTCATTTCTAATACTTCGCGATTAAAAGGTAAAAGTGTATATTAAATTATTAATAAACTTAATTGTCATATATCATAAGTATACATGATATATAATATACTAAAATATAAGTATTTTAACTTTTTTCATTTAATTATAATTTTTAATTACGTGCTTTTCAATTCTAGATTGATGAAGAGGGTGCACTAAAGTGGAATGAGACTCAGATTTACATTACGAAACTTGTTCGTAACGAGAATAAACTAGCTGACATAACGGCGTGGTTTAAAAAGTGCAAAGAAATAAGTAATTATTTTTAATAATCACACACATACACACACACACACACACACACACATACAATTTTATATAAAATTCTTTCTCTTCTTTGCAGGCGATAATTTCGAAGGAAGCAAGAAAGAAAAAACCATGAAAGCTTTCGAATGTGGATTGCCATTAAGAAAATACGTTATGCAACAACCAATTTTATAATTATTATAAAATAAAAATTTTTCTTAACATAGATTATTAATATAAAATATAGAAAATAAAGTGAGATATGAGTCTAATTTATATTAAGAAACTTGTTTGTGATGCAAATAAAATAGAAATAAGGGAATTATTAAAAAATGCCAAAAAGAAGACAATTAATAAAAATGGAACAATTAGACCTTCTTAAAATTTAATAAACAAATTATATGATAAAGAAAATGTTGAATTATTGAAGAACAAACAAAAACAGATAATTTAATTTCGGAACAGTCGAAATTATCTGCTTCACGTGTTAAACGTTATATAAGTTTCGTTTTGCATTGCTCTTAGTAAATATTAATTAACTTTTAAAGATCTACACTATTGACTTTTCGTAAAATAAAAAAAGTATAATTTAACTGGAACACTTGTTTATATAAAATATGTACAGAATATTATATCAATTTCACAGTCAGAATAATCGGTACATCTGTTTATATAAAGTATATGACGAATGATGTGCAAACGGTATTGCATTGCGTAATTTGTACAAATAAAGTGTACGGGTATATATATTGCGTCCAAAATATCAGTAAGCCATTATTCAGTCTTAAAGCGCTGTGACGAGCATTGAAAACGTTTAAATTATTACGTGTTGGAACACTTCAAGATAAACAGAATGAAGACTCTAGCATTCGTCGTGTGTATACTAGCCACCATTGTAAGTACTGACTATTATAGTTATTTATCTTCTTTTTGAATCATAAATAAGAGATTCCATTAATCCTTACATAAAATGTCATCAAAAGATTTTAAAAGGGGGATTTGCTATTAAGAGATTAATGTTTTAATGAGTCTTCTCAAAACATAAATCTACACGAAAAGAATGACTTTGCTGAATAATTTAAAAATTTTGCTGGATACATATCTGAAAATAATTTTGTTGAACCATCAAAATTTGTTAGACTTTCAAACTGGTTGCAAATATTAAAACATTTTACAGCCATGCTCATCATTTTTCAGTTTCCAATAGAATTATGATGGTTCAACAAAATTATTTTCAGATATGTATCCAGCAAAATTTTTAAATCGTTCAGCAAAATTATTCTTTTCGTGTAGATTTATGTTTTGAGAAGACTCATTCAAACATTAATCTCTTAGCAAATCCCCGTTCTTGAATAAATCTTACAATGCAATAGGTTATAAGCCATATTGTTTATAAGCCAATTAAGAGAAATATGGAACAAAGTCAACAAAGTTCAATTTTTGTGGATTTCAGACAATCGGTGATGCAGCGCTGATATCCAATTTAGTAAATACCTTAGTAACGTCAAGCATATTCAACATTAAAGTGCTGATAGATTTTCAGAGAATGTATACGCAATGCGCCTTGGAATTGGGTTTATTGAGTAAGTATTTTAATTAAATAATTATTAAATATTTTATGCTTAAGACAAAATAATAAAACTACTCTACATAAATAATTTATGTCGCCACTTCAAAAATTTATTATAAAAAATGTCATCAAAAGGTTTTAAAATTAAATCTTATACTCACAATCAGTAAAATAACAGCATAAGATAATCAATTCTTTTTAATTTAAAGTTATAATAATATAAAGTTAAAATGTAAAGTATTATTTTTATAATATTTTATCTTGGAACACATTGATTTTCAATTTAGCATAAATTTATTCTCGTTATTATTTTTTACAAATTTAAGCAGTTTATTACAAGTGCTTTAAAAAATAATATTTGTAAAAAAATGTATATATATATATATATATATATATATATATATATGTAATCATGATATACTCTAATTTATTTTGTAAATTATATTATTATAACTATTTTTCATTGCTATATTGTATTATATTGTATTACATTACCACGTTTTGTATATAATATATACTTATTCAATTATAATAATCGAATTTGTGTCTGAGAGAAAAAGAGAGAGAAAGCTACTCTTAAAAGATTCATATTTCGCGATCCAATATCACTTTCGGAAAACTATTCTCCGAGAATGACTATGTATATTACTTTATGCACTTGGAATTATCAGAAATCTATAATTCACATATGTATATTACAGAGTCCTTGACACCTGAGATATCCTTTTGTGTAGCAGAAAAGAAAAACTTGGTAAGTAAATATTATACGTACTGAAATATATGCTCATACATATAGGTATATTTAAGAAGAGAGACAAAGGGAAAAAGAGAGAAAGAAAGAGAAAGAAAATTAAATTTATAAAGATAAAACTCATTTAAATTCTAACACGATTCACATTCCTTTACATTAACTCTTATCTCTTTCAAAATCCTCAAAGAAAATATATATAAAATAAAGAATTATCGGGTATATATAGTTTGTACTATCAGAATAGTATAAGTGGAATATTAAAAAATAAGAAACTGATTAAATATTTTGACTCATTTTTAACACCTCGAAATTAAAAGATAAAAATGTAAGCTAACAAACTTAATTATCATATATTACAAATATAGATGGTATATAATATATTTAAATATAAATCTTTTAACTTTATTCATTTAACTATATGCTTCTTAAATTCCAGGTTGATGAAGAAGGTGCACTAAAGTGGGATATGACTTATGATTACATGGCAAAACTTATTCGTGACAAGAACAAGATAGATTTCCTAAATGCGTACTTTAAAAAGTGCAAAATAATAAGTAAATAATTTTAATAATAATTACACACACACACACACACACACACACACATATATATATATATATATATATATATATATATATATGTATATATGTTAAATTTCGTATAAACAAAATTAATCTTAAAAAAATTCTTTATGTAAAATATACATACAAATAATATATGCAAATTATATAGAACATAAATTTAAATTTTTCTATCATTCCTATCTAACAAATAACATTAATACAATGCTTATGTGAGCCACCGCAGTTGTATTATAGATGCGTGAATCAATACATTTTTACAAGGAATATGTACTTGCTTAACAAACGTTTCGACTTCAGATTTGAGACCCCCTCATTGTAGAATACATTAGTGTAAATTTAGATAATTATAACTAAAATGGGCGTCCATCTCTCTTCCACGTAACATCAAATAAAATCAGATAGTCCATATTGAGATTAATAGTTAAAAAGTCCACAGAAAGAAATTAAAAATCAAATATATTATAGGAAAAGATCGGACCTCTGAAGCATGACAGCGAGCAGGGCCATTGATAAAGTCTGAAATCGAAGCGTTAGTTAAGCAAGTACATATTATGCTCCTTGTAAAAATGTATTGATTCATGCACCTACAATTACGGCGGTTCACTTAGACATTGTATTTTCGTTATTTGATTTATTCGTTCGAGCCTGTAATTTTCCATTATTCCTTTTTAAATATAGATACAAATTTTTAAATACGAATAAAAAAAAATTTAAATATTCTATAGAAAGACCATTTCACCGTTGATTTCTTAGACAATGTTTAAAGAATTATTAAATAAATATATAGGTGATTCTTAATTACACACTGATGATTTTAAAGTCTTTTAATATCATTGAACAATTTTAATATTTTGAAATAACAAATATCATTGAAAAATTTTAAATTTTCTCCAAATGTACATAGATTAAATTTTTTCTTAAATATATTAAAAATTTTATAAAATTATTTGAAAAAGAGTACAAATTCTGTCAATTGTTTCGAAATGTTAAAAATGAGTTTTTTAAAAAGATAAATAACACTCTCTCGTAACAAAACAAAGGGAAAGAATGGCTCGTAAGAGTAATAAATTTACTAGTGACATATCGTCCCGCTCCGATTCATTCGAGCAAATGCAGCTCAGGCCAGTACTTATAGTCATTACATAAATCCCATAACATAAAGCGTATCAGACGAATTGTTCAAAATAAAGTTTTATATATTGAGACGTAGAGATTCAATATTAAAATTTTGATTAGAAATTGACTAAAAATGTACTCAATCAATTGTGAGAAATGAAACGATCACTCTCGTGAAATGATGTTTATTAAAGTATGTCAAAGTATGACTATTGTAAAACACTCCGTAATATTGTACATGTGATGAGAAAGCTATTTGAATCTCACGTTATTAAAAGTGATGCAATAAAAAATTAAGTTCTTAATAAATAATGATAGACACAATTAAAGAATTAAAAGAATAAAACTGGCATATTTATTATAAAAATAAATATAATTAATAATTTTCAACATATTTCTTTAATAAATAAGTTACTTGACTATATACGCATTTTTTAAATAAATAAGTTAGTCTGACATAAAAATATTTCCTGTTTGTATTTTATATTTGTCGTTTATGTTTGTCATGCATATCGAAAAAATCTAACGAAATATTGCGTTTTTTTTATATCGAGTATTATATGTATAATATTTAGTCTGGAAACAGAGAGACTAAACGCAAACCTCATATTTGAAAGATATTTGAGAACGAAAAATTGATATTTTCCTTACTCATTGTCAGTTTTATAGAATTTTTCCTTATTGTGTTCTCATTACTTGTATTTTATAGATATTTTATTCTAAAAATTTTGTTTCTTACATACTTACTTTCATACTTACATATAGATTTATGTATAAAATATTCAATAAATTAAATTGAAGTTTTATCAATTCTAAAATTAAATATATTAATCTATTCTAATATTGGAATAATTCGTCCGATACGCTTTTTTATATATAAGATTTATATAATTATTTTAATGAATATAATTCTTACACCCATCCATTCCAAGATAATAGATCTCTATAAAATTATTAATTTATTTATTCTACATTTCTATATTATACATTATATGTATATCTAACATAATTTTCACATTCGAGATTTATTAATAAAATAGAAAGTAATTTATTCATCTCACAATTGTTTTGTCGTCGCCCAATGCCTGTCGGGCCTCCTCCTCCTCCTCTCAGATTCCTTCGTTGCATTCGCATACAACACAATACCACACTCAGGAAAGCATAGGTTAATTACAATCGCGCATACTAATCATCACAACAGAATAACCTCACGTCACTTCGCACGACACTTCCGACGTTAATCGCACGCGCATTTTGCTATTGTATATTACAACGGAATCCCATCGAAATGCAATCGTGAAAGTACCGTGAAACTATCATCCGCGCGGTACCTGTGTAATCTTGCAGATTAGCGTAATAGGTACGAGTATATGAAATTTCAAACGGAAGAGAGGATTTTAACATATTAAATGACGATACGTGCAAATACCAAATTCACGCTATGCAATTGACTCTATATAAAATATTTAAAAAATATGTTATTTATAAATCACTATTAAATTATTATACTAAAATATATGACTTAATTAAGGCTGTACTTATTAAACGCATCACGCTACTCAATTTGAAATCGACTCACGTTTTACACCCAACGTTCCGTTTATAAAAAATTTGAAAATAACGTTGGCATTCCAATATCATACGTTAATAAAATTAAATTAATAATTGATAAAGATGTCATTTGAAATATACAATCAAAATTCGATATTGCATAGCCGATATGTTTTGATATAAATCCAGTTAATTATTCATATCATTAATAAACGATCGAACACGTTTTTCATTTATTTGATTCAGTGATTCGTGTACTCCGTTTTCTCAATCCGAAACAACGACTAAATTACGTTTAAAAATTCAAAACGTGACGCTTGACGCTAATCCACAATTTCAACTCCTTGTCTTTTTGATTTCTAAGTGCCATAAATAATTCGCACGAAATATTTATTTCGATACGTAGCCAATTTACAAACATTAATTGCGGTAAGTTATGCGACTCGTTCACATACCTATCTCAAGAATGTCCCTTAAGATAAAGTTATATCTTATATGTATATGTATTCTCAGCACTTTCGATAAGTTATCTTACTTTACGTATTCTCTAAAAAAGAACAAGTTTAAAAAACAAAAGCTTATGTGAGTAATCTTGCTCTATAAATTTTCCAGAGAAAAAGAGAAAGAAAGAAAGAGAGAGAAAGAGAGAGAGAGAGAGAGAGAGAGAGAGAGAAATGCAAAAGAATCTCTCTTCTAGTTCTACAAAAAAACTTGATAATTCCACGAATTCGTGACGAACAATCTACTCTGTTACTCTCAAAATCATAGTACTTTATACATTTGTAATTAATGTAAATTCATAGTAAAGGTTAATTTTTGTATAAAGATTGGCAAATAAATTTCTTTTTTTAGAATGGTATATGGTCTCGCGAATTTTACAGTTAGAATCGCACGGATCGCTATGAGTAACACTTAATTAATTGTTCGTAGAAAATAATCGCGTTTGATAATCTCTCGGTAGTTGACACGATCGCCGTGTTTCGACGGGTAAAACGACGAAACACGGAGTAGCACGTGCCACTGTCTGCTGACACCGCGCAAATGACAACATCGACCGTGTGACGGCCTTGCGTATCGGCAGCACACGCTAACGGAAACAAATACCAAGGCCGTATACATCAGCCAGTCTGATTACCACGAAATGTTAAACGTACTATAAAATGTGTACCGTTATAAGTTATGTGCCATAATAAAATGCGTATTCTGTTTCTTATGTGTCAACTTAATTTTAATAGATGACCTAATTATCATCACGCATTTTGCTCTTCTACGGACTCGTTAACGCCTAAAGTGACGATTCATTCTATTCTACTGAGAGAGTATTTTGGAATAAAAATACTTAAATGTTAAGAGAGAATAATGATAGCAATTCTTTTAATTTTTAAGATATATCTAAATGTTACTATAATAATATATTTCAGTTTTTAATAATTATTTAACTTTTTCTTTTAATAATAATTTGAGTGGTTGAATAATTTTAATTCATTTAAAAATAATTATTACATACACGATATATTATTTGAAGAATAAAGATTGTTCTTGTTTTAAAAGCTATTTATTCAAATTAATTTATTATTATGTTGATATTTTTTATAGTTGAGTTTTTATTTGAAAGAGGAATGAAATTACATGATTATATTTTAATAAATTAAAAAAAATGATATTAAATCGACATAAAATATTATAACATATAATCAGCTTTTTTTTCTCAATTTAATAAAATTACACCGTTTTGGTCTCGGGATATAAAAAATTAGAACAGAAATAACAATAAAATAATTTTAAAAACTTTTCCTGTTAAAAGCAAACTTTAGTTTTTTAAATAAATATTAAACTAAATTGATATAGTCATATATAAAAATTTAATATGCATATCGATATTTTATTAAATCGATATGCGATACAAGAGAAAACATTATAGTTCAGTATATAAAAATGTACAAAAATATTGCAGTAGAGGACAATATTTTGTAATTTTAAATTTTAGTGTTTTAAAAATCTATTTTTCATGTTAAATTTTTCACATAAATTTTCACAATTGAATACTCGTTTACTTCTTCATTATCTCCAGAAAAATGTCACAATAAAAACAGATCTTTTTTTAAATTTTACAAACATGGAATCAAAATACTGTAGCAAGAAAGTCTTCGAAAAATTAAACAAAAAAGTCATTTATAAATTTTTATTTTAAGCAGTAGTTTTTGAGATATAAGAGTTTAAATTTAATCAATTATAGATACGGTTAAACGGAAACATGTCTGTGAGTAGTGCATCGATATAGTGTTAATGGTCGCGCACTTCGCACGTACGC